ACGTCCACCTTTTTCTTTGCTCTGGTAGTGGAGGGTCGACGCACAATTCTCTCCTCCTTAAAGGCCCTATGCCATAGTCTGTCTTTAAAATTTCCAACGTCTGTCCCGGATTTTCCGAGTTTGACGCACAATTTAAGTGCGTAACGCTTTTCCATTTTTCTCACGATACGTCATTGATACAGGGGTTCACTACTTCCACGATTCGCGCGATCCAACTACTTGTTGACCAATGGGACCGGATACACCGCGTAGCTAACATCTCCCCTACCCCAACCAATCACAGATTTCCCCACTCACGGCGCGTGCGCGAAGCTACAATGTTTGTCCAATTACTTTTAGGACAAACCCTGTATCTTTTGGCAACGGAGCCGATTTGAGTGAAATGTCTACCCGGAGAAGTTCGTTCGGTGAAATATGCTGCCCCGTAAAACAAGTGTAAACTGGTTTCAGCGGAAAATATGTCGGTCTATCTATTGCTACCGTTCAAAGAGGATGGGATAGCGGAATCAACCTCTAGATGGCTTTCTGATGCAACAGAACTGCGAGCTAAAATGCTCGGCCCATCGCTCTAACCGTTGTTGAAGATTGGTGATTAAGTTGCCATCCTCTTCGCGTGTTTCACTTATACCAGATCGAACACCGTTGACTCGAATGAGATGGGAAAGGTTACTGGTATTACTGGAGAGACTAGCAAGTTCCACCTCACTGGCGCGTTCACACCAAGCTTCACAGTCCATTTGCAGACTCCTGCGCAGCTGTCGCCCCAGGAATTGGTGTTCTTCACTGTGGCTGGATTCAGACGGGATCAAGCGGCATTTGTCCATCAGCGACAAGTTGAGGGTGGGAATCTAATTCTTCGGTGGATGACGTGCCACTCCACAAACCTCGATACTGGTGGAAACTAAGACATCTTTGATCTGTACCCACTACGAATCCAGTTCACCGGCAGAACTTGAGCCAAGCAATGTTGACAGTGAGACTTGGTACCTGGTTAAAATCACAGGGTTTTCTAGATTTGCGACGTCTGGTCGGTAGTGAGTGGGTTTGGGTGATACTCCGAAACACATTCAAATCTTGGCACGAACCAGTGCGTGACCGGAGTCTAGATAAGTTGACCAGTACGACCGGCAGTCCGTTACGCTTCTGCGCCATCTGTAACTGATTGCTATGTGGTCAAGCCGGGACCACTCTTGCGTTTGTGAGGGAGGCGCCAGGTAGAGTGTCAAAAACTAGTGCTCGAAAAAACAAGCAATGACCAGAGCAAAGAGCAAGCAGTCTGTCTCCATTGTCGGATCGACTGCTACCGAAGTCAAAACTACGCACAAGGTGATGATCCCCTAGTGGAAGGCGGCTCACCCGTGCGTTAAAGTCTCGGACAAGAATGATAATATCAGTCTTTTTTGTGGAACTCAGAAGGTTATGTAGCTGTTGGTAAAAGTTATCTTTGTATCTGGGCTGCAGTCTGCAGGGGCGTAAGCGCAGGCGACAAACAAAACATGCTTAATGTCCCGTCGCATGCTTACATTAAATGAACTTCTTAATCGGAATGCGCATAGTCGACTGTTGACTGGGATCCAGTCAAGCAGAGCTGATTCAGCCCTGGCACTCATTGCAACACCAACACCAGATTGGCCAGTGGCGGCAGCTTTTGGGTCTCCGGAAAGCCGCAAGTGGTATGTGACGTCAGGGTTTACCAATGAGGCCATTCTGATAACGGCACTAGAGTCATGCAGTTTGGTTTTTGATATGCAGCAGATGTCTACCGAGAGTGTTTCAAGGGTACGTGCCAGACATGCTTGTCATCCAATCTACATCAAAGTGCGAACATCCAATGCTGGGAGGATGGGTGGTGAACCATGTCGAAGAAAAGCCAGGGATTCTGTAGAATGAGAGACAGTTGCTATCGCAGGATATTTAAAACCAGTAACTTTGCTGTTACTTCTGTCACTTGCAACCAGTGAGTAGTTTTGTGACAGTGACTGGGGAAGACATAAGAGTACGTGTGGGTGAAGGTGGGGTGATCTATAATTGGTGGTCGAGGAATTGAGTTAACAGAGTTGCTAGACATAGCAACGAAAACAGTAGTACAGTAGTGTTGTCCATGATTCGTCAGTGGGCGTGATACGACCCGGTTGCCTAGACCGAAGTGGACGGTTGTCTTAGCATTCCCTGCCCCGAACCTTTGATCAAAACTGTAACCTACAGGGCGATATGAGGGCGTCGTAACCCGTTGGGAGCTGATGACCAAACAAATAGTCCATGCGCCTTTCGGTCCGTGCGGAACCAGGGGCCTAACGCCACCTTGAAGTACAATGCCATTCAGGGGGAGGCAATAGACAGTGACTTTATTTAGTGACAAGTCGCATCCGCCACGTCGCAGTGTTATTAGACGGATCTTTGTGGTTTTTCATATTGAGAGCGTTTGTCAGGCGAAAACCCACCACGTTCTGAAACACTGTCGCTGAACCATTTGCTGGAACGGGAAAAACCCGAACCACTCAGCTGGCAACTAGAGGATGTTGTTCGACTAGGCAGCACTGAAGCATGCAAGCATACACTAAAACATGCGAGATATGCTGTCATCGCGACACGAGTTTGCCATGCTATGTCATTTTAAAAAGGGTAATCCAATCGAACCCAACAAACTCAAACCGTTGACGGATTTCCCGCCTCATCCCTAAAGCCACAAGACAGGATTCTTGGCACTCGCCCATTATTCGAGGTGAATTCTCTGGTCTAATTTATCCCGATTCCGGCTTAATTTGAAACTGCCTTCGATCGGTTGAAGATGAATTTGAACAATATTACCATGACCGTCAAGCTTGTACTTCCGCTCCTACTTGGAACAAGCACTTCTAACGTAGAAATGGCTAGGGCATTCACTCAATACCGTCGGCCTGTGACTTTCACAAGCAAATCAGCAGCGTCATTCGGTGATTGAGAAGACGTGCACGCCTGCCGAAACGATGCGAAAACTTATTTCTTTTTGTGAAGTTACTGCCGTGCTTACCAACCAGCGATTCATGGTCTCCATAGGCTGTGGAAAGGCTTGGGCCAATTTTCACATTAAGATCTGATGTTTAGAAGCATCAAGCTTTCAACACTAGACCAGGAACCAGTATTGAGTCGATGGATAAATTGCCCCAGATAGTGTTTGTTACAGTTGGTAGCACTTCGGTATACACCGGCTGTTCGAGATTACCTCCAGGACCTTTGAATGCGCCTGCTATCTTCTACTTTCGGCTGTTGGTATGAAGGCTATCATATCGAAATGTGTAGCGTATTGGAATAGAACGATTGTTTTGTGAACTCTCAGTTTAAGGACTAGCAAAAGGCATCCAACCTTTGAAACCACTAGGCACCGATTTTGAAAAATTTTCCGTAATCATCAAATCTTTATTGATTGTTATCACCAACTCTGTTTTTTCTCGCTTTGGTGGGACGTTAGGGGTGATTATCAGGTGCCTCGCTTAACTTGCACAATATTTGGGATACCGTTATTTTCTTACACGTATCGTAAATCCTCGTTTATGTTTAGTGACGTAGAGCGAAATGCTTACCACTAACAAACTTGTAGTTTGCAGTTGTCTAGTTAACGAGAGGACCACACGCCTTAGATCTACTCTGTGGCCTTCGATTAGACCAGCGTTAAATTCAGATACTCGCTCAGTGACCATTGGGAATCAGTGCTTTCTGATGCTTTCACACAATAAGCAAGTTCATCACCGGTTTTCCTAACCCTTCCTAGTCCCACTGAGGTGTTGATTGCGAACCATTGGTAATTGGTAGTTCATATGCTCTGAATGGCAGCGGAGCGCATGAAATAACCTTTCGTTGTTTACGATCTGGGCATAACTTCATCTCCAAATGGTGTGTAACTTTTCGGATCCACTAATGGACGCTTCTTTCACGGAAGATAGCCAGGAAGGCTTCCTCACTCTTTTACTACAATAAATTTGATTTACCTCGGATAGTAAGGATGTGGGCCGGAACATAATCTTCATCTAATTAAATTCTGCATTTACGTGTATGATGTAACTACACATCTGTGATCGCTTGTTTACCTGAGATCTCGGTGGATAATCAGCGGAAGATATTGTTAATGCATGCTCGCGATTAAAACCCAAGCTGTTGGCATTATTTGACTGAGAAGCGTAGGTAGTGTTTTACCCAATGACGTTAAAAAATCCAAGAAGTATGAAAACTGGATGTTTGCTAGTAGTGGGTATTCGTAGACCTGATACTTGACGATCAAAATTTTATTCTTGATTCTTAGTCTTTAGTATTGTCGGACCGTCTGAAAGCATGCGGGATTATGCCACAACAAAAAGCAGATATTTACGATTCAGACATTCAACAATCATAGATTGCAGACAAGAATCCTGAGCAAATTTAACCAACGATTAGTTCTTCCTCTCAGCTTAGTATCGTGGTCTCTGTCTACTACCGAGAAATGCGAAGTACCATTTTCTCCTTATCCACTTAAATACAAAAGTACCGATGGTCTCCAGCTTATCCTTTTTTGCTGAATTCGAGGTCTCTCCCCCTTGGAAGCTTTAGTAAGACGTCTCCGCCTACTCACGCTTGTGTGAAATCTGCTGATCCGATATGCATGTTGCTCGGTCATTGTCATTTTCCCAGACGTCTCAGGTCATGCGGAGCCGTTTTTACAACGTATTTGAACCAGCGGTCATGTACCGGGTCGGAATTAAACATGACACCGGAGACCGTTGTGGTCACACTAACTTGGCTGCCATTTTTATGTGGTCGCGTACGTGATGTGCACGAAGTAATCTCTATTCACTATCAATAGTTATGTTCCACCGAATCGGACAGCCGCACACACTGTGCATTGTTGCTTTCATCCCAGGAAATTTATCCGCCGGCAGTCACTGAGGCGTATCCGCCTGAGATGTTTTCATTATCTACTCCAGTTGTTGATTACAGCAATTTTCCACTCATTCTCTTAACTACTATTTTCATCCTTTATGACTTTCCAGTTCACAACCTACAATTTGTCGAGGATCCCCCACCGGACGTGCTATCGTTTTGGTATCAGAGTCTTTCCTCCCGACTAATGCTTGGAAGTGGGATCTTGAAGTGCCGTTGGACTGGATGCTTCGAGGATTTCACAGATGTTATAGCTTTAAGTCAGCACGTCTTGGACGCTCACGGGACATGCGAGGGATCATATTGTCTTTGGGAATTCTGCAACCAGTATAACTTTGCACTATTAGACAGAACATCTGAAGCATCGAAGTCGCATCTGCTTTCACATTCGGTTTTCGAACTTTATTCCTGGAATTCAACCAAAGCTCTAATAGATCGTGGTCTGAACTACCTACCTCATCCCTTAACGTGCAACCAGAAGTATACTTCTGGCGAAAGCTCGGATCAATTTATTCGGAAAAGTTCTGAATTTGAGGCGGACGGTCTTCTGACCATAGCATTAAAGCCGGAGGCCGACTCACCTCTTCCTGTTGGTAGGTTAACGAAAATTGACCTTCTCCTTTCAGTACCCACTTTCTTTGGCTGTTATGGCTGTCACTCTGTGTTCAAGATGGAGTCCGAGCTACTGCAGCACTTTCTACCCACGCTTTATGACTTGGTGCCAGATACAAGTGGTGCCGATACAAGTGGCTATAGATGCCATTGGGTTGGCTGCAGCGATACTTTCGAAACGCCTGGACGCCTTCAGTGTCATGTCGAAAACCAGCACATTCAACATAACGTTTCTCCTTTTTGTCTTTGGCGGCGTTGCCCAAGCGACTCAATGAAACTCACCTCATTAGATCGATGGCGACGCCACATGCTGCTGCATACATTCGTCGAAACGTGCATAGGTTTGACGAAGGTGCGTTTGGATGCTTGTCGACGGCAGTGGACCTTAGAATGTCGCGGCGTCCCAAACCTGAAACCATTTTACGTCAATCGTTCAACGGACAAATTGTTTTGGCTGGAAAATATTCTTGCTCATGACTTCCAGTGCCGGTGGGCTGATTGCAATTTCAGGTACGTTGTGTTTTAACGACTCTTAGACCATGTAGCATACAAAGTAACTTGGGGCTTTCGCCTGAATTTACCTCTGACACATACCTGGTTATGCCCTTTACTTTGACAGATGTATTGAATTTCGTGACGGCTGGCCTCATTCTTACGGCTGCACATACCTAAAGGCACTAAAATTTTACTTTGAGTTCTTATGATTTTAACAACGCAGTGAGAAGACGAACACTAGTGGGTGCGCGCATTTCGTATTATGTTGTCAATATCAATATATACGGTCACCCCTACTATAGTTGTGATACCTGGCTCATATGATCAGCAGACGTAGAGGGGCTAGTTATTTTCGACCATCGTTGCCTTCTCAGCATAGCTCATGTCTGGTCGGAATACCGCCTGAGTAATGAGCGCGTTCGGCGTCGCGTATTTGGCGTAAGGAGAACGAGTGAACCGCTCAGCACCAGTATATCACATTGGTGCCCCGGTCCGAACTGGTACGACATTCGCAATGTACGCGAAAGGTTATCCTATGGACCATTCATTGCATAAGTGAATAAAAACGTATATGGTATGTGAGCAAAAGATAATAGCAGGTAGTGAACAGCCAACTTACTGGAAAAAGCTCACCAAGATGATACAAAATGGTGGATGTCTGGCTAAAACCCTGTGCCTGGAATACTAGTTGGCAGCGATGACACATAAGAAGCGTGTCAACTGCGGAACGATAAAAAGAAATCGAGGCAATCGGGCGTAACGTATATTACGAAAACTACAAAAACGGATGGCGAATCAACACAGTGAGCAACAACCTAACGCGCACTCACCGGGCAGAAAGTGTGTTTGATGTGCAATCAGTAAAAAAAAGGACAGTCCGTAAGTTTAAAGGCCAATAAAATTCAATATTATGAAATGCTAAAGGAGTACACGTTTCAGGTTCATTACAATCTTCAAGATTTCCACCTAATCAGCTTTCGGTTTCATGTACTACTGTGCAAATTAGCGCCTCCGAGACTAGATGGTTATTGGTAGTTCTTACTACTGCATACAATGATAGCTTGCAAACGAGTTTGTCGATGCGCATGGATATCGCCACATAGCAGATGCTGTGGTTTTGTCTGTTGCATCGTTACGGAAATTTCTGGGTAGAAAATGATGTTGCGATGCTCGAGGACACGGTGGAAAGACACGAATGTTAAGGGGATATAGGGGAGAAGAGTGAAACAATTAAATGCAGCGAAGTAGTCAGACAGGAAAAACTAGTAAAATAAATATGCGTTGCTAATCCACTTGAAATAGCATCGGTAACTTGCGCAGTTTAAATGTTAACAATTGCAATTTTGGCGATTAGATGACTAAATTGCAGAATCCCTTGTGCGGGCCGCGTGTTTTACTTGCGTGCTGTAGACGAGTACACCGGTCAACAGTGGTTTTGGTGCCACTGGTATTCTAGTGATTTTAGGATAATTTCCCGTCACTGATTCAGCATTTGGCCTCAGTGTTGCTAGACTAACTCTTCTTTTTGAGATACGCTCTACTCAGTAATGACAAACAAGAGTATGTTTGGTCTAAAAGTCATTTGTAACTTGTTTCCCGTACTGCGAATGCAAGGTAATAAATACCCGATGGTTTCGTACACACGATCACAGAATTAATAATCATGAAATGTAATCCCTGAAAAACCGCTGTTTGTACGATTTACTGCTATGTGGTTTATCTGAAAAGTCACGTACGGTGCTCCAGCATTAGTCCGCCATCATGTGTCTGTCCCATCTGCCTTGATTCCACTTTTCCATCACCTTAATGTCTTGAGGGAACCCATCACCTTGCTCATCTCTGAAGTCACCAAGGTTATGCGGGAGAGGATCCGTAGCTATGGAAAAAATGCAACTTTATGCTCATCCTACAATCCAAAGTGTCAAAGTTGGAAAACATATTCTCCATAATTGCTTGCTCTATGGTTACTTAGGAAGTCTTGACAACGATGACAAAACCATCTTAAGCACCGTCCATACATTATTTATAAGCAGTAGGGTGGTTTACAAAGTTTTTCGTGTAGGTTCGCCGCAGTTAGGCACAGGCAGACAGTCAGCATACATGCAGGAAAGCGCTAGAAGGCCGTTTCGTCCTATTAGGACTCGTCAGTAGTGCGCATCCGCCGAATCCTGCCGGATTCGAACCCACGATCTAACTCTTGCGCGTCAGCGACTTATGTCACTGAGCCATGGGCGACGGCAGCGGACCGCCATGACTGATCTCTAACTGCGATATAGCGCCGCTCAACCTCCACTGTCTTGCATGTTATGAATGTGCAGAGGACAGGGCTGGCCCCCAGAGCAACGACTTCCTTTGCAAGCCGCCACCAGTCGAGGTGACAAGTACGCTGCTAAGACGACTACTGATTATTTGTAAGTAGTAGGGGGATTTATTCGGTTTTTGCGTAGGTTCGTTGCAGCTAGACGCAGTCAGCCACAACACATCCCGGAAATGCTAGACGGCTGTTTCGTCCTATTGGGACTCATTTATTAGAATGAATCAAGGGAGGCGGAATCAGAGTAAAGATTTCTTTTCGGTAATTCTCATCGGACTCAAACATTACATGAGGAGGAGAAAGTGCTAAATGTGCCGGATTGGGCTGCGTATTGAACAGAATGTTTAATTTCACGGGTACAAATCAATAAATCACGGGGTCTTTGGAGTGGCAAGTATGTACAGGGGAATTCATAGCCGAAGTTGTAGGCCACGGTAGAAGTAAAGGATGTACAAACGGTTTTTGTACGCACAATTCTAGCTTGAGGTGGCGGATGTAGATAGCTTCCGCAAAAGACAGGTGCATCCGGAATCCGTGAAATTAAACATTCCGTTCAATACGCAGCCCAATCCTGCACATTTAGCACTTTTTCCTCCTCATGTACTGTTTGAGTCCGATGAGAATTACCGAAAAGAATTCTTTACTCTGATTCTACCTCCCTTGATTCATTCTAATAAATGGGGATTTTTGGATTGCTGAGGATCAGCATTCCCTGTGATTCAGTCAAGCTATTGGGACTCGTTAGTAGCGCGCACCCGCCGAATTCGGCAGGATTCGGCAAGGGGTCCAGCCCTGTCCTCTGCACATTCATAACATGCAAGACAGTGGAGGTTGAGCCGCGCTATATCGCAGTTAGATATCAGTCATGGCGGTCCGCTGCCGTCGCCCATGGCTCAGTGACATAAGTCGCTGACTCGCAAGAGTAAGGTCGTGGGTTCGAATCCGGCAGGATTCGACGGGTGCGCACTACTGACGATTCCCCATAGGACGAAATGGCCATCTAGCGCTTTCCTGCATGTGTGGTGGCTGTCTGCCTGTGTCTAACTGCGACAAACCTACACGAAAAACCGTCCATATATGTTCTGAACTTTCGATCATCAGTGAATTGTCAATCAACAAAGATGCGAACTTGCAGTTCCTCCAAACTCAGTTTAAGGGATGATCTACAATTGTAGTAGTAGGTAGTACTAGTAATAACAGTCTAACGAATAGACCTAGAACCAAACAAAACCATGGCGGTCACTAGAAGTGTACTTGGAAATTCCACAATCTTTTCTCCTTGCCTTAACAAATTGATTCATTAGCTCTAAATTTGTGTTGTGATGGAAAAACAATGCTTTCTCTGTCAGCCGAAAGCTTTTTGATGATGTTTGCAGCTCCCACACTTATTTTTTTCCTAGTAGGTCAAATCACTTCCTACCAGTGTTGCTGTTTTTTCCTGCACATGAAGCAAGTCTGCTGCAGATGTTTATAAAATGGCTCCAGTCTCTCGGTTGATAGATCAGAATAACTTCAGCAATATTATTTCAGTGGACAAGAGCGGTACAGTTACCTCTTGTGCGATTAGCTGTCGTTTTGGTCCCCGGATCAATCAATTCCAATGCTTGTTTTGTCAAAACGAGAACTCGTGTGAGATCGTTTAGTTTTTCTTGTGAAAACTTCTTAGATGTTAAGGAATTTCCTTCATGGTCACTGCGACCACTAATACAGCGAGGATTCTTGTCATACAATTATTAAATATCGGGAAATGAAAACTCAGACAATGAGGCAAACACTGGCACGGGAACTTCTGCTCTGTGGGGCGCAGTTCGTCTAGATGATTCCAAATCAGGATACCCCCATTTACACTTCTTGGATGGATTGAAGGCTTTCACATTGATGACACAGAAATAACACTCATTGTGATGGCTTGTCGGTTCTGTCCACACCATAGGCATATTAAAACTCATACCCTTCTTCTTCGTACCCGTTATCCATTTTCGGAGACCACTCAACGTAGGATTCACAAATCTTATGTGGAGTCAGAGATTTTTCCTGATTTTCAACCTTGCTTGACTCATAAAGGGAGTACTATTTTTTCTTTGTTTCGTCACCAATGTAGCAGAATACATCTGCATTGTTCAACCAGCTACGTCGAGACGGACTTATATACCTAAGAAAAATACAAGAAAGACTTTAAATAATTACCTTTTATTAACCTTATTATTATTATTATTAATTCACCACTTGTTATGTCCTGGAAACGTGCCAATTTGTGAAAGCTGCTTTCACATTTGATATCGGCACCACCAAACTGCTGAAAATTCGACAAGCATGGAAAATAGACGAAGCCTGGTAGATGCATGCATTTCGTATTGTCTCCTCGGTACCATTAACAGTAACCGATATGCATAGATATAGCTGATAATGTGTGCAACCAGACAAGCTTAAGGTGCAAAACGAATAACGGAAGCTATATCTATGCATATCGGCTATTGTTAATGATATTGAGGAGACAATACGAAATGCATGCATCTACCAGCCTTCGTCTTCTTTCTGTGCTTTTCAAATTGTTGAAGGGAACTAACTGCTTTAAATTACTGAAAATTCGTTGAATTAATCTCCTCGCCAGGGAAAGTTTTTTGTTTTCAATTGGTGTTATCGTTGCATGACTACAAGCTACACGGCCATCAGTTAGAACCTCGAGGAATGCTGGTGCATG